TCTAGCCATGAAACAAATACATTTTAGGACTCAACTGTTTATATAAGGACTGCTGTCATGAAGCGTTTGATTCTTCGGCAAACTGTATTTACGCCACTTTTCCAGATCAAACCTTCGACAAATCCGCAACCAGACATCGATTCAATATTTTCCATTGACAGGTAGATTTCCTTTCATTGCACGGGCAAGGCATTATCGGTCATTGCAGATGAATACCCGATAGACCGTAAGATAGTGAGGTAAACGAGGTTGCAATGGGTACAGAACGAGTCGCGTGATTTGCTCGCCTCCGACAAAAATGAGAATGCTGGTGATGGTAGGACTGTCAGAATAACGAACCTCGTAATGCTGACTGGGAACCATGTTGATGCACACATGCAACCAGTGGGCAGTAACCATGAGATGTAAAAACTATATGTTGGTGTGGTGTGTTGGGTTTGTGTTTAGGCACATAAGTGAATGAATGGGTACAGATACAGGGCCGGAAGCAGCGCAATGCGTCCCTCATCCACGCACCATACAAGTAACAGCTGTTGCCTTTAGCACATGCACGCACGCACACACACACACACACACATTCAGCAAGCGCACAATGCTTGTACAAAAAAAAATCCAGTCTGACTGCTTTCTTTCCCCACATGTTCCCTCCTTTTCTACTGTTTCATACTATTCTTTCCTCCTTCCTCAAAATGTTCCTCCTCCCCCCAAGAGACCACAGTAACTTCCCTTCACACTGAGTCACGTACACACACTTCCTGCTCTTCTCCTTTTTTCTGTTCTCTCTGTGACGTGGCTCAGTGTTTCTGCCTGACTCTCAGCCATGTGTTGTGACTGCAGGCCACGTGGCTGCTAACTTCTGACTGCAACGTTGTTTTAGTGGATCACAAAGTGGGGCTCGTGTGGGGTTTCAGGGTTTCTTTAGAGTGTCTGAAGAGTTCTTGATGATCGTCCAGGGGTTTTTAAGAGGTTTCCATGTGTTAAGAGCGTTTTGAGAAAGGTGGTTGTCGAAGTTCAGGGGGGGTTACATGAGGCTTTGGGAAAGTCTTTAGGGGGGTTCTTTTTTTGTTGCTGCTTACTTTAGTGTCCTTCTGGGCATTCAGGCGTCATTCATAGGTTTTTAGATGATTCTAGTAGAGTCTATATGTTTTCAACAGAGTTCCAGAGGATCTTGAGGATGTTTCATGGATAAGGAGTGCTGAAGGGGCTGGCAGGGTCCTTGATGACGTTGAAGTGTTTTCAAAGAGAGTTTAGTTTCTCAAGGGGGTTCTGAAGTCCTTAATGAGGTTTATGGGGCTCATCAAACAAAAGCATTACATATTAATTTGTAAAATGAATAAAAACTTTTGTCATGATCATAAAGCAATGCATTTCCACTGAAATACAGTCTCCATAACATTTAGAGTGGCCTGAAATAATCATTGGATTGTTAATATTTTATGTACATGTGATTCTTGAGACTTCCCTGACAGCATAAAAAAAACGTAAACAAAGATTGATCAACCATGTGCCACCGTGACCAAGGAGGCCACTGTTTAACACACGCTCCACCGGCCAAGGGGAACTAATCACCTGAAGACCTCTTGGGTCACGGTTGCATGTTGTTGTGAACTACAGGGAGATGTGCAGGATAAATGCATGAAGACGCTTCCAGATAAGTGCTGCTGGTGTATGTGACATATTTCCGGACTAATGCTGCATTGTGCCGGTGCCGATGCCTCTGTTGGTTTCAGTGTCGAACCTCCTCTAACATGAAAGTCTCATTATCTATAATGAGTAGCTGTTGAGAGATGAGGGGCTGTTGATGAGAGCTCCTTGTGACTCCGACAGCGAACAGTGTAATAATATACAGTATATGCCAGGCTATGGAGGCTTTTATCCAAAGTGCCTCACAGTACTTCAACTGCATACATATTTTAGAAAGGATAGCCCAATAGGAACTGAACCCCTAATTTTAACAATGGCAGTGCTGCGCTGAGCGTTGAACTTCACAGAAAACTCCAACCCTGGCAGTCTCGTAGAGGGAGCATAATTATTTCCCATGTTTGGTAGCATGTGTTTCAGAGAGCAGTGGTTACAGAGAAAACATCATTTCCTTTGTGATCGCACAAGAGAGCGAAGCAGCAGACATGAGTGATGCATGCGAACTTGTTCATTTCTCACTGAGCATCTTTCCAGCTGTGATCAGCACCTCCAGTTTTTTGGGTTCATGTTTTACAAAGTGACTCATGCACTTTTGTAGCATCTCAAAAAAGACAAACCGCCTGGGAATTTTGCTTTAATCTCGATGTTTGACTAACGTGACCTTTCCCTCTCTCTCCCTCTCTTTTTCCGTCTTCAGTATGGGGAGGAGGAGGTGTGTTCGGATCGTTTGGACACTGACTTCCCGGACATCGACCTCTCCCAGCTGGATACCAGTGACTTCGACAGCGTCAACTGTCTCAGCGAGCTACAGTGGTGCAACGATCAGCCGGCGGACGCGTCACCGGCCTCCATCCACTACAGTACAGCAGATGAGCTCTTTGAGGTGAGGCTTCTTCACCAAAATACAGTTCAGATATACTGTACAACTGATGTTTCTCTCAAGTCAGCCATGGACACATTCTTCTACATGGGTGAGGGCTGCCATCAGAAGGCATCGGAAATATAGGTTTTCTCTAAAATCATTGATGGTAGTCATGCTTTTATGATAAATGTTATTGTTTAAATGTGTTAAAATGAACAGAATGGTGTTAATAAGATTCATCAGTGGATTGACTGAAATTATGTGTACAAGCTTCTGGTTCTCTAAGAAATCCATGCAACATTCAAAAGGCACAAACAAGCCCTTGCACAAGAAAGGAATTCTCTTCATCAACACATTCAATTCCAGATTGCTTCAGGTTTAAAGCTAATCCACATGGTGAGTGAACCTGAAGCTGTACTTTAAAGTTCCTAAAATCGGATTTTGATTTTGAAAAACATCCTGCTGGACCCCTAAACACAACATTAGTGATTCAGCAATAATATATGGCACCATTAATGGTGGAACCCATTGCTTAA